TGCTGTTGTCGGGGATCAGGCTGTGTAGCCTCCGACATGACGGTGTCACCAGGCTGAGCGCCCCCTCCTCCTTCCATTTTATTTTTTCCCTTTACAACACCAACAGTGAAATGTAATGTGCCCTAAATCCTAATCTGTCATCCTTAATTTGTTTGTTCTGTGATCTGTCCTTTGTCCCCCTGCCTTTCGTCAAACAGATCTAACTTTCTCCTAACTCCTGCAAAACGAAACTGTCAAATGTCAACCTTCCTTTTTAGTTTTCATATAATTTTTTTTTTGCCAACTAGTTTTCATATATTTATTTTAAGGCCAAAATTTTTTATCTCCATGGCTCCATTGACGTCTGTCAATGTTCGCACCAATAGTTGGCGCCCCAAAAAAAATTAAAACGGCACTGATCTTATCAGAGCCATGGCACCAAAATAAAAATCTTACTACAGAGCAAGCGTCTATTTGGCACAACTTTAAAAATTATTTATAATGATATTTTATGTAATCGAGACAAAAAATTTTTTACAAATTTATATCATATTCCATAAATTATTATTGAAAAAAATTATTTATAAACTATTCTAAACAAGCTCTAAGATGTTTTCTTAGCTAAAACAACTCTCCCTACATTTTGGGAAACCCTCCCTAACTTTTAAATGATAGAAAAAGTAAGTAAAGCGGAAAAAGGATAAAGATAAAGGAAAAATCAATTGAAAGATATTCTTATGTAGATGTATGTACTTAAATTTACATTAAATTAAATTTCAAAATGACGTCTATTGAATTAATAATAAAAATTACTTTACTCAGGTCAGATTAAAAAATTTTACATAATAAATATAAAGAACTTGATACAAGTATGTCTTTTACCATATATTTGGTAAGGGAAAGGGAGGGAAAGGGAAGTAAGAAAAAATTTTAGAAAAAATTACAATAAAAGATCTTGGAATATATAAAATTGTAATTTGGGTTCTTTAATTCACAAAATTACCACCAAAAACCGGGTCTTGAATATTAATTATGAAATGTTGAGAAAAAGATGAAAATACCATCTCCTGCTCTTTCTTTCTCTCTCATCCTCTCCTTCTCTTCCCTTCTTCCCTCCCTCATCTTCTCTTCGTTCTCCTCTCTCTCAAACTCACACCCAGCACCCCAAAAGAAGACGGGATTGATGCATGCAACTACATTAAACAAGCACTGTCCCTAGTCGACAAATATGATCCTGATCGCATTCCTCTAATTCCTCAATAGTGTGGCTTCTCTTCCTCCCTTTCTACCATTCGTAAGAATGCTGGTTGCTCCGGATAAGCCTCTCTTTCTCTAACTATGTATATTTATTTAATACTCTTTTTAATATCTTCCCGCCTTCGCATTTAGAACCAGATGATTTTTCAAATGAAGCAGATGACTAAGAGAATATTAACATTACAGCAATACAAGAAATATTACAAGGTGGAGTGTTAGAAGCTCCAAACCCAACTTTGGCTGCGTGTCTGTCATTATGTTCCACAACATAAACGTGCGTGTTTTTCAATTTACAATATGTAGCAACTTAATTAGAAGCTAATAATAACTTTTCTCTTAGTTATGCAGGTTGTGGAGGATGGCTTTTAAATCCAGAGTCGATGACATATAGCCACAAGTTTGCTACAATAAAAAATATTTGTAAAAATAATTACTCTAAATAAAATAAATTGTTCATGTAATGGAGTTATTGCTTTCTATTGTAATTTGTAATTTCCTACTTCAGACTTGTTATTTGCTTATTGTAGACTTGTAATTCTTTATTCTAGACTTGTTATTCCTTATTACAGATTTTTAATTTCTTATTCCAAACTTGTTATTCCCTATTGTAGACTTGTAATTTCTTATTTCATACTTGTAACTTGCTATTTTAAATTTGTTATTTTTTATTGTAAGCTTGTTATTTTCTATTTCAGACTTGATATTTCCTATTACAGACTTGTAATTCCCTATTTCAAACTTGTAATTTTATATTATAGATTTGTAATTCTCTATTTCAAACTTGTAACTTCCTATTTTAGACTTATAAATCCCTCTTTTAGACTTATAACTCTCTATGTTAGACTTGTAATTGTCTATTTTACTAAATAGCCATTTGCATAAGGGGATATGCAACCATTTTTAATATATTTGTTGACAATTTTACTAAATATGTAATGGGAACAATTTGTGAAATGAAAATGACTATTTGCATAATGATTTTTGGAACTTGTATTAAGACATTTGCATGCTATTTTACAAAACAGGCAATGGGAATACAATTTGTATAAAGAAAGTTACAAACTTGTTAAATCCACGTACTAAACTTGTATTTCCAAGTTAACACTTGTTATTTCAAATAAATTTAACTTGTTATTTTTAATTACATACTTGTTAAATCCACATGCTAAACTTGTTATTTCAAACAAATTTAACTTGCAATTATAAGTCTGAAATAGGGAGTCACAAGTCTGCAATATGGAGTCACAAGTTCAAAATAGAGAATTACAAGTCTGCAATAGAAAATATCAAATCTAAAATAAGAAATTACAAGTCTAAAATAGGAAATAAGAAGTCTACAATAGAAAATAACAAATTTGAAATAGCAAGTTACAAGTATGAAATAAGAAATTACAAGTCTACAATAGGGAATAACAAGTTTGGAATAAGAAATTAAAAATCTGTAATAAGGAATAACAAGTCTAGAATAAGGAATTACAAGTCTACAATAAGAAAATAACAAGTCTGAAGTAGGAAATTACAAATCTACAATAGGAAGTAATAACTCCATTACATGAACAATTTATTTTATTTAGAGTAATTATTTTTACAAATATTTTTTATTGTAGCAAACTTGTGGCTATATGTCATCGACTCTGGATTTAAAAGCCATCCTCCACAACCCTGCATAACTAAGAGAAAAGTTATTATTAGCTTCTAATTAAGTTGCTACATATTGTAAATTGAAAAACACGCACGTTTATGTTGTGGAACATAATGACAGACACGCAGCCAAAGTTGGGTTTGGAGCTTCTAACACTCCACCTTGTAATATTTCTTGTATTGCTGTAATGTTAATATTCTCTTAGTCATCTGCTTCATTTGAAAAATCATCTGGTTCTAAATGCGAAGGCGGGAAGATATTAAAAAGAGTATTAAATAAATATACATAGTTAGAGAAAGAGAGGCTTATCCGGAGCAACCAGCATTCTTACGAATGGTAGAAAGGGAGGAAGAGAAGCCACACTATTGAGGAATTAGAGGAATGCGATCAGGATCATATTTGTCGACTAGGGACAGTGCTTGTTTAATGTAGTTGCATGCATCAATCCCGTCTTCTTTTGGGGTGCTGGGTGTGAGTTTGAGAGAGAGGAGAACGAAGAGAAGGAGAGGGGGGAAGAAGGGAAGAGAAGGAGGGGGCATTTTCGTCTTTTTTCCAAAATTTCATAATTAATATTCAAGAACCGGTCTTTGGCAGCAATTTTGTGAATTGAAGAACCCAAATTATAATTTTATATATTCCAAGATCTTTTATTATAATTGTCCCAAAATTTTAATAGATTCAATTTAAAAAATTAGAGAAGTGAGATTATAAAATTTAATGAAGATAAGAACAGGTGTGAAATAAATGAGTAAGTAGAATCAATTTTAAATCAAATTCATTAAAAAAATTTCTCTTTTAGCTTCCTTATTTAATATTTGTACCAATGAAATAGTGTAAGATGTCTAATTTTCAAGATATATATATTGCTATAAATTATCTAATAAACATTATTCATCCCGAAATCTATCAAAAAATGCATTTTTTGCCATCAAACCATGAAATTATTCATTAATTTTAACATTAAATTTTTTTAAAGAGTACAGGGGGCTTCAATTAACTCACAAATAAATATTTTTGGTCTTTACTCTTTCCAAAGGAAGTGTAAAATTTTGCCCTTTATATATACCAATTGATTTAAATTATTAACGGCACTAATTCAACTTTATCGTGTCATTCACTTCACATTGGTGATTTTGTTTTGGAGAAATTAATATTTTAGTCCCCATAATTTAGTCGAATTTTCAACATAATGTATTAGTCCACTTCGCAATAAAATTTATTTCTTTCCAGTTTTTAATCCATTACTCCTCACAAGTTCATGTAATTTTCAATTTCTCTTTTGGGGCTTTTAAGTCAATAAATGCCATCTAATTATAATCATGATGTGGCAACACAAATACTTGTTGTGATGTGACGCGTCATTTGCGTTTACCATTTTTAAACACATTAACTTGGGAGAAAACATAACATCCTTAAGACAAGTTCCAATTATTTACCACAAAAAAGAGGAGTTTATTTAAGAGCAATAGAGATGTTGGCCATGCAAAAAGCAAGGGTATTTAAAAGGGAGAACTATTGTGAAGTCTTAAAAAAAAAAGATAATTCAAATATATTGTTATTTTTACTTTAAAACTTGTTATTACATACTGTCAAATTATCATGAGACTTTGCAGTAATTATTTTCTTTTCTTAAAATCGTATAGCAATTCTCCCTATTTAAAAGGATCTTGTACTTGAGTATTTGGCCAGTAGAGGAGCTTCTCTTTTCTGCCCGTGCATGTAACAAATTAAGACCCTTAAAATCCAAGACTTGAATTGAAAATTACCCAACGTAGATATTAGCGTAGGAAGGTTATGATTTAAAATAGACTTAGTTTTTGGAGGGATGTTTGGTTTCTTAAGTCAAAACACCCCTCGTCCTTATTTTGTACACGGTAGAGTCATTTTTAGGTTTCCACCCAAAGCATCTAGCTAGCGCTGATAGTATTCATCGACTACAAACAAATCTAAAAAAGGACGACGGATAATACAGCTTTTTTGTTTGTTTCTTTTTTTTTTTTTTGGGGGGGGGGGGAGGCTCTGGCACCAAGGATGTGCAACAATTGCATGGTAAAGAAGATCCCACAATAATGGAGGGGCTCTTGTGCTCACAAAATTATGTTTAAAAACAAGCTGTCATGAGTTTTAAAAATCACTGGTTGTGATGTATGACTAGCGGAATGGAGAGCCGATGAAAGAGCATGGAAAGAAATACGTAGTATACAACAGATAGATAGTGACAGCGATGATGATAAGTTTTGCAACAACGCCACATTGCATTGATCACGGGGAGGAGGAGAACCACAACTAATGGAACATTAATTCAGATGATTGTCCGTGGCGCCGATAAAGCAGTTATGGTATCACCATATCAACGCCAACATGTTAATATATAGCAAAAAGTTATAAGAGTGGCCCTGTTCAAAGTTTAGGTTGGCGAAACATGGCTGGTTAATATGAAAGCACGATTCAGCGGGAAATGAGGCTACTGACAATTGGGAAAAAGGAGGTTTAGGAAATTAGTGTATTAGCTATTGAGGTGGTTGTTTGATGAGGTTGCCCTTCTCTCTTAGCTTGGCCACGGTCTGTTTCATGGCCTCTTTCCTCTTCTTGCTGGCCAAAACTTTAGCCTGAACCCCACTCACATTCGGATCCTTTTTCTCTTCTGATGGAGGCGGCGGAGGCCTTCTCGCAGCGGCACGCGCATTTTGGCTCTGCCCGCTCAAACTCAAACCAAACAACATTGTGCCGCTTATTACCAGTGACCTGAAATAGACTAGTTAATTAAAGCAATAACAATAAAAATAGCCATATCAGAGAAATGAATGGCCGTATGCCTGCATAAGAACCTGCGAGGCAGAGAGAGAGAGTGGTGTTGGGGAGAGCCTTCATGAGAAGCAGAGGTCGGAATCAGAAACAAAGAGGAACAGTAGCTCGCGCTCTCGCAGTCCCCTCTCCCGGATTCCCGCCTTCTCGATATAGCCGTGGTGGCTGCTGCCATTGTCAGAGAGTGAGCCATCACTTCGATCTCGATTGCTCTAGAAATAAGGCATCGCATGACATTTTGTCATTCATATCAACACTGATATTTACTTCACAAAATGTCTTCCGATTGTGGCTGAGGAGTGGATGCTGTTTGGGGTTTATTCCGCATAGTCATTGGTGGGTACCGGATAAGGTTGCATTGCTGTGTGGACCCTCCATCGGACCTTAATTATGCACCGCTTTAGCTTGATAGCTTCCATATCAGCGGTTATGGATTTTATCTATACACATTGTTTCATAGAATGCAATTTGAGAAGTTATTTGTAAATTATTTTAAATAAGTTCTAAACCTCTTTATTAATTTAGCCCCACGCCACACCCGCAGAATCAAGTTCAAATGGCACTCGGATTTGAGCCCGACGGTAATTCCAAAATCCAAGGGCAATTAGTAACCTGCTGTGTTTGATTTTTTATTTTTAAAACAGTTTTTTCTGCAAAATAAAAAAACAAATAATCTGTTTGATTTTTGCTTATTTTCATGTTCTAAAAATGAAAATAGATAGTAAAACTAGCATTTAAAGTAAATATTAAAATTATTCTTTTATTCTAAAAAAATCAGAACAGTTTTCTAATATCTTCTTATCTTCTATCCTACAAGCTAGAAAATAGGTAAAAACATTTTTTTCCCATTAGCGGTAACTGCATAAATATAAAAAACATTCTTTCACCTTTCATTTCACTATTTTACATGTTTTTCAAACTAATAATTCAAACATAGTTTTTTATTATTTCCAAATTTGCTCTAAAAAAATTACTCGACAAAATTGTTCTTACAACGTAAAAATAAATGCTGAAGACCACTTAGTCTAATGGCACAAGATAGGTCCCCATGGATATCCAGATTGGGGTTCAATCCTCAGCTATTAATCAAGCTACTTATATCTGCCGTCCCAATTCAAGAGAAAAAACATAAAAATAGATAATAAAGTCAAACAAGCCCTACGTTATCCCAAAAAAAAAAAACAGAAACACCTATTTTAGCATGAAAAAATTGGATTTAGCATGCTTTACTTTCACAGAACGCAGCCCAAAAAAGGAAAGGAAAACGCGAGGTTTAATGGCACTAAAGGAAAAAGTTTCATGGTCACGACAGAACGAATAAAATACAAAGGTCTCATTCCTTTTCAGCAATCACAACAAAAACATCCTTCAACGACCACCTGCGCCTGACGTTTTTAGCGGGGGGATTAATAACCGCTCTCTCAGCATTTGCGAAACGGAAACCAATCACTATGTCCCTTCTCTGCCGGGCTCGCAACATTATCTCGTAAAAACTCAGCTCCTCCCCTTCAAACAGGTAGAAGTCAGCTTGTCTTATATGCATCTCATTTCCCTGATAAATATGAAGAAAAATTAATAGCTAGATTTGCCATGATTCCGGAGACAAGGAGATTCGATAAAATATAAGGCTGGAGGTGGTCAATTCCAATCCACAAACCAGATATGCTGCTCAACTTAAAATGAAGATTTGCAAATCCAGTACCAAGTTAGGCCTACGGGCAGAATGATAAATTTGGAGGCGGTGCTCCATCCACACCAATTTAAATGGCATTAAATAAAGAGTTTAGGTAACACGGGTGTCACGACATGAATGAATAATAGTGGTAACCACCCGGAGATCATGCAAAATCCTCAATAACACATATTTAAATCCACTAAAGTTACTGCAAGATCCTAGGAAAGACAGGAGTCTGCATTGACCGTGACTCTGCCAGCAATACGAACTTTAAAACTTAGCAAAAGCAAAATATGGCAGGCTTTTCGAAATACAGGATCTAAAATAGTACCTCCTCGGCAAAGAGCTCTTCCAAGACACCATTTATCTGTCGATCCTCTGCCACCATAGCCAAAGCCATGCTGACAAGTTCATTTGATAAAACATAATCACTAATCTTTGACATGGATAAAAGATTTTTTGTCCTCGGATCCAAAATTTCACTGATTATAACGGATCTATCTGAAGCCTGCTTCATTTGCCCCATCCAGGAGCCTTTTGAGAAGCTTCCTCCATGAACCGAACCCCCCATAGCTTCATAAGGAAGACGCCTAGCCTGAAAACACAAACATTTAAAGCCTCAAAAACAAAACAAAGCAAAGGGGCAATATAATTGTGTTGAAATTACATTGAAGAGTTTGTACAATCCATGCAGGCAACCTCGCTGAATGGAATAAGCCTCCTTGTTATTGTTGTTGTTGGACTCGTACAACCAAGCTTGCCATTGAAGGAAGAGGTAGAGATAGAATATCTGATGGAAACTCAGTGATATGGGATACTAAAACTCATATTTAGCATAGGATGCTCGGTGAGGTATTTAAGTAGATAGGTACTCCCACCTTAAAAAGTATCTTTTAGGTTAGGGTTCCCAATTCCACTTAGTTACCCCTCAATCAATATCAAAATCAAGTTGTTGGCGGTTCCAAAGAGAGCTACCCAGGGATGGTTTTGATTCGCAATTAGCAATAGGGAAGTGTCAATAAGTGTAGCTGCCAAGATGTCAACTTTCCATAGGGGCCAGCTAATGGAAACTTGGTAGTGTGGGATGCTAAGGGGGTGTTGGATTAGCTTTTTAGAAATGATTTACAGTGTATGATGTAAATATATGAAAAGAGTTTTGTTTCGGCTTACACAAAAATATTTTTTTTTAGTGATTATGAACTGTTTGGAATGCTCAATTGGACATTTTAAGTGGGTTAGTTCTTCTGCCTCAACAACTAGATTCTGAAGTTGGGGTTCACCATCCTAGTTAGGTACTTATCAATACCTCACCAACAGTATCAAAGCCTCAAAAGACCATTTACATTGCACATCAATGATAGATGACCAAAAACTCTAGCGAACTCTTGGCTAGCAAATTCAATGGTTCTACCAATTCATCGAACCTTCATGTTCCTTAATACAACGCCTAAGGAGTAGGAAGCCATGAAAGAAGCATACTCTCATGGAGAGAATGCCCGGTAGATTTTTGAGATCAAAACAGTCGTGGAGGATGGAGCAAGGCAGTAGGGATGTTAATGATTACTGCATAATTATGGGAAGAACCCAATGCTCACTATGAAGAGAAATGGTAGTATATGGTTGATTGTGTTATGTCAAGAGATTGATCAGGAAAGATGGGGTACTTGAGATTTCAGCCAATTTGAACAAAGAACTTAATGATGTTCAAAGTCACATCCTTGCTTGAAGCCCATTACCATCTCTTCGAGAAGCATTCATCGAGTTGAGACTCAACAAGTTGGACATGATTAACACCTATGATCTAACTTGCCAAGCCTGAATTAAGAAGGAGGGTTGTATTAGGCCCTCAATATCCAGCATATAACTCTGTCAAATCTTTTCATGAACATGGATCTAATGTGAAGGGGGTGTCAACATCCTTAATGACTAGGAATTTATTATAAATAGTCTCCTCGCCATAATTAGAGACTGTCACTGATCTAGAATTCACGAGAGGAATAGTGTCAATTATGTAGAGAGAGTTTAGTATTTTGCTCGCTGATTTCGTGCATCTGCTTTCTCTACATATCCCCTGGTCCCTTTAATTTATTCAGCACATTAGATGTCATTTTGTCCATGTTAGGACTACTTTTAGAGAATTAGGAAAATACATGAAAAGGGAAAAGATGCTTTTGTGGATCAGAACTTCGACTTCCTATTTTGGACAAAGAAGTAGAAAGGTAGGGTTGCTATAGGGTGACTGTGGTCAAAGGCTATGAGAGGGTTGTTTTGGAGAATGGGAAAGTCACTTCTTGGGCCTATAAATCGTCCTCTTGAGTTCAGTAAGAGTGTGGGGAGTTTGAATTGTGGGAAAGTTTGGCAAGCATTGTTCTGTTTCGTGAGTTTGTAGAGTCATTGTGGAGTCCTTGTGCTGTGGCCAGTGTTATGTTTCTTCTAGGCTTGTAACTGTTGTGTATTTGAGCGTGAGAGTGTGATGTGTGTCTTAAATCACCCTACCCCTTGTAATCTGACTTATTATGCAGTAATATAGTGATCAGTTTCGTTTACCCCAGTTTTTGTTCTCTATTTCCTGATTTACACTTTTGTCATATTATAGGACCACAACTTTAACATCCAAAAAAGTGCTAAAAATTACTATTCAGCAAATGCCAAGGAAACCAACATCAATTAATAAGGCTTAAAAAAGGAAGACACAAGTCCATCATTGATCGCTCATAAAAACTAATGGATAGCCACATAAGGTTACTTTGTTAAATTATCTGACTGAGTTAGCCCAGCATTATGAAAGTCTGCTTCCTACATTGCAGCATTAGCATGCAAGTTACACAAGGGCATGCAAATAGATGCTACAAAGAATTATTAAAAGGATTATACCAATATATAGTCATTTTAATAATCCTGTATTCATGTCAGATGTTTACATATTATTTCTTTACCATAATGACCTAGGGTAATAAATGGTTTACAGGAAAAGGAAAAGCATTTTTCAGATCGCAAAAGAATTCAACTTTATGGAAGTGCCCTTATCAGGGTTAAAGTCAGAAGGAACTCACTTGTATGTCACGAATCAGAAGTAAGGTGGCCAGAGACCTAGAATCTGCTTGAATAGCTGAATCCTCCACTGATTCGTCAGCCAAAATCAATATCTGTGAAGATCAGAAGCAACATCAAATGTATTCTTGATGATAAATAACATATTGTAATCGTATTTGCGAGTGCATCAAGGACATTACATAACATACAATGTCACGTAATTGACCTTGGGAATGAGAGAAAAAGAGGGAGAATCAGCGGGGAAAACGTAGATAGAGAGACACAGAGGGCGATGAGAGAGATAAAGGGGAAATTCTATTCCATTCACTCACTATTGTTCTCAAAAACCTAATTACAATTCACCTAATTCCCTCGGTTTATAGGCCCAAGGGCTTGTTAATTAATTCTCACTCACTCTCTTCCTTTTATTACAGTTATATACCATACTATCAATCTACTATTTTGCAGTTGTCAAAAGGATGTTATATTCAACTCAAGCAAGAGTAAGATAGTGTTAGGGATTTTTTCCCCCTAAAACAGGATGGAATGAAAGGAGATGACTAAAAGGTAGTAGCC